AAGTGCCTAAAATATTTTTCTTTCTCATATGTTGAAGTGAACAGCAACAATTCAGCAACTCCTCCTTCATACTCTGGTTAGTTATCAAGAACATCTATAAAAGACTACATCTACTACATTACAAGTTAATTAAATCAGATACACTGTACAATGAAGGCAATGTACGTACTTGGAGGAGAAAGGAATCCATAAGTTAAGCGAGGATGATTGTTATAAAACAAGCATGTCTGATTATGATTGAAAGAAATACGAACATCCTTGTGTAAACAGCTGGAGGCATCCTCTGTAGCAGAAACCCATTTGTCCTATTAAGTAAGAAAACATCACTGGTAAAATGGATAGCTGACTTACCATAGTTCTCTCAGTGTGGGAGACTGCAGAACTCTAAATATTTAGCTGCAACTGCTTTTAATGGTGTGAAAGAACTTAACTAAGATGCAAGAATTGTTCCTGGTTTGTCAGTGGAAAACAAGCCCTCCCATCCAATTTATATATTTTGGAAATAAAGTGAACAGAACTGCAGCATTTCAGTCGAGTTCAGAATAGCGTCTTCCAAAGAGAACCTGAAGGTGCCCATTAGAGATAACCTGATCACTGTAAATGTACTTGTTCATGCAGACTAGGAATCAGAGGCGTCCAGATGTGTTGTTAGCCATCTCCCTCCACTGGGCCACTTGTTACAGTAACTGGTTGCTTCATGCCACTAACCTCAAAATATTTAGGATCAAGCAAATCTTGCCAGAGTTTAAATTTAATTATAACAGTCATTTAAAATCTATCATTCCCAGATAATCAAATTAAAATAACACCCTCTACTGTCCTAATTCCATTTAAGCATGACGTGGCTTCTAAATTTTTTCCGAACGGGAAAGGTCAACATAAAAAAAAAAATCACCTTTCATTCACAAGATCAGTGCCCTGCAAGAACAGGCACATCTTAGCATAGGGTTCAGGACAGCAAAGACCAGATTTATCTCCACCAACCTCTTTTTTCCCCACCTAATCAGGACAATCTTCTGAGAAAAGGATCAGATCAAGGCGTGAATGATTTAAGATAGTCCAGAGATTATTCTTTCAGAGGGATCCCACCACATTACAAACACTGCTTTAAGACCACAAAACCCATGTTGAGACCAGACTTTAAGGACAGTACTGGCAGACTGCTATAGCAGACCTACACTGCCATGCAGTAAGCCGGTGCAGACTCATTGGGCTTCTGTATCAATGGCAATGGGTTCCTCCTCTTGCTGGTGGATCTGCTTGCTCTGCAGGCAAAACTGCAGCTCACTCCAAGAAATAGAAAAGAGTCAAAGCCAATCCTTGAGAGGAAAGTGAAGAAAAGCTCATATAAAATTCCTCTTTTTATCTCATGTGGTTCTATGTAGTTCCCTGGGAAATAATATCATGAACAGATCTAAGAGGCATTCAGGAATAACTGGTATTCAAGCTTTTTACCTTTCAAGGTTACTTCTAACCGTCCTTCATATACTTACCTCTTTGTTAATGGTGTACGCACTCCACAGAGACATCCTGTAGTCCTTGCTGTACCCACTCACATAACGGTAATGGTAAAGGAGGCAGTAATTATGCCTCTTCTGCAGAACCCTGGGCCGTCCATAGGGCAAAGTAAATTTCTCTATATTTTTAACTGCAGCAGAAATAGTACTTGTTACATTTCAATCAATACTGGTTGTTAAGCATCTTTACACACCTAAGGTTGCCTCAATTTCCAACTGCCAAACAGAGAAGTCACATTAATGAAACAAAAAAATTCTCATTCTTATATCAAAGATAATTTTTGCCTTGACATGGAAACTATAAGTCAAAGCCAGTATAAAGCAATCATTTAAGCTTATACTGTACAAATTTATATTTAAAATAAAATCAAAGATAGTTTCCATGTCAAGGCAAAAATTATAAGTCAAAGCCAGTATAAAGCAATCATTTAAGCTTATACTGTACAAATTTATATTTAAAATAAAACATTTTCCCATTTAAAACAGGAAATGGATCTAAGTTGCAAAGTTAAGTCTTTGTTGACTTTGTGTTTCAGTTTAAATATATGTGGGATCTGCTTCTACTTAACATGTAGATGGGACAGTAATCAATTGTGATGATTTGAAATCTGCTGAGGGGATTTTAGTAGAAGCCACAAAGTCATATGTAAAAGTGACATTTAAAGGACCAAGAAGTACAGAGAGCTAAACAAACAATACAGTGAAGTACTGGTTGGATTTTCAGATGTGCAACAACTCGCTTTATAATGAGTGTGACAGTCAAAATCTTCCTTCTTCCTATCATGGATCACATCTCTTTAGAAAGTTTGTATACAGAGAAAGGTATCTCCAAATGTTTTATGTATGATACTGCACAGGGGTTTTGGCAGACTCTTGCCTAAGGCATTGCCTGTTTATTGGCCAACTACCACATCCAGTGGAAGAGTGAGGACTTTAAAACTGTATCAGAAAGAAGCTGTGTGGAATCAGCATAGGGTAAGTCATTAGACAGAAGCTGAGAAGTAAAGCAGAGTTAGCAACAGAATTACTTCAGAATCAATACCATTTATCTTAAGGAATAAACAAAGTAGTTACAAAACAGAGTCATAAGAAACACAAGCTCTTGCAACCATCTGCTGCAGTCAAATGTCAGCAGAAAGTTCCAGTTTAACCCCTAAGGTAGACTTCAATTTCATCAACACATTGAATATTTAAACTTTTGCCAACTGGAAACAAAGAAAAATAAGGTCTTCGAGTTCTCTGATGTAAAATAAAAACTGAGAAAGACTTGCATATCATGAAAATATTTTAAAATACAAAAATACTACTTTGCCTTCGAGAATGCAGGGATTTTCAATCATTACATGACTGGAATTATAAAGAAGGCAAAGTGTATTTTCCATCAAATAGATCACTACTAACCACAAATTAAGCAGAACTACAATTTCGAGGCAACTGTTTTAAATGGGGAGAGAAATTGAGCAATGAATGCTGCAGTTTTTTTTCCACAGTAATTCCACAACACAAAAAAACTATCAATATTATGACATTTATTTCTCCACCCATGAAGGAAAAGGCAGACAATCACATTTTTTCATGAAACTAAAGTAGCAGTTAATATTTCGGTGTTCTTACAGGCTGTTAAGTTACAACAATCAATGACAGAATATGCAAACTGAGGTAACTAATAAACTTGAAATAGTCTTAAGGAACATCTAGACTGGTTACTGGAATTATTTCATCTGTGATAATTCTTTTTATATCTAATTAAGTACTTAATTCATACAATTTATAAGGAAATTACTGCTATTAAGACCAGTGCTAAGTCAGGTCTCACTGATAATCCAAGCCAAAATCCTAGTGTTTCAAAAATGCAGGTTGAGAGCCTTAGGCTCCTATTTCTACAAAACAGCACTGAACTAGGTTATGCGCCTGGCCTTGCCATATATCTTCAAAGCTGGGTTCAACAAGGCACTCGGGCATCCACCTACACATTAGCAGAGTGTTTCAGTGAAACAGACTTAGGGGAAAGAACACTGTACCTTACTAACTGGATTTCATTCTGTTGCTCTCATGAGTGTTACAATACTGAGTTATTTTGGGACACATTTTAAAAAGATGCCCTGTTTGTGGAAAAGATTCAAGAAAGCTCTATTCACTCCTTGTGCCAGGACAAATGACACAAACTAACAGAAGCCTTAAGTTAGCCCTGAATAAGCAGCAAGTACTGGATCCTGCCTGTAACTGGCATTTAAGTCCAGTAGTGAGCTATGGTGGCGTGTTGCGAAATACAGTTTATTTGCATAAGAAACAAGGTTTCATGAACACACACAAGGTAAGGGCTCTATCAGCCTATTTCTCTTTGACAGCCGAATCCTCTTGATTTCATTTTTTAAGGTATTAGCACCAAGGGCTACATTCCATTTTGACTTATGGTTTTCATTAGTCTTATCTGCTTCATGCTCAAGATAGTTTATCTTGTTTTACGAATCATGAGCACATCTACAGCCTTGCAAACTGCAGCTCAAACATTGCATGTATATCCAAAGAATGGAAATAAAGTGTAAGACCACGTAACAACTCAACCATGTAAAATATCCCTTATGCTTCATTAAAAGTATGCTGCCATCATGATGTCAGTATTTGCAGGGATTTCTTATCTGATACTTCCTGATTGCTTTTGCTTCCCATTCTGAAATGCTCATTACTTCAGTGCCAGAAAATTCAGAAGTATCAGATAATACAAGTGCCATAAAGACAGATGTACAAGGATACACATCTATTTGAGAACAAATGGTTCAGTGAGACTATTTGAAAACTTCAGAACTATATAGTCCCAACAAGTATTCCAAAGAATTTTTACCTCATGTACTTGAGAGTTGCTCAGAAGTTTAGGCATCAAACATTTTATATTTAATAATTTTTACACCACTGTTGTAATTTTATATTGCTATCTAAAGTTCTTACCTTCTGTTTCAGTGAGATTTAAACGCTGATGAAAATCCCTGACTGGCAAGCCCTATAATTATAAAGCAAAAACAGTGAGATTCTACTAAGTGCTCTACAAAGCATATTATGAGCCACTACTACACTTAAAATACCAAATGTAACATCTGCCTTGCAAGTTATCCCTATTCAGAGCCCACTGGCATCTACTGGAGAGGGGCTATGGAGAATTTGTAGAAACAAATTGGTTTTGTCACAGGCAAATCTACAGCCTTGAAAACCACAGCCCAAACACACAACATTCACAGAAGGGAAGTTTCAACATAATTAAGTGAAGCAAGCAAGAAGATGCTTTCCCCATCAAAGCTCGCTTCTGTGGCATCTTGTAGGTTCTTCAGAGCTTTACATGACTACATAAGTAAACTGCAAAAATGAATATACAAATACAGGCTAGTGCCCACTAACCCCAGGCAATATTTGATTCTGAAACCAATAGTAGGGGACTGCAAAACTAATGGGTAAAGATAAACACTGGACAATCCAGAGGTTCACTCTTTGAATACAACAGACATCTCTCTCCACAACTTCATCCATTTCAGTACTCACCCCTGTCCTACAGGAGCAGCCAAGGCTCACTGAAAAGGCTCTTTGTCCCACCACAGAGCATTCAGAAGGGTGGCTTGTTTCTTTGGGGTGGTGGGGGATGTAAACAGGGTTCCTTAAAAGATGGTTTAGGCGTCCGTGAGTTCCATTGTTTGGGGCTGGTTTCAAATCAAGCAAATCTATGAAAGAATTCAAGTGGTATTAACAGGATGAGAAAGACTGTAATACACAGCTGCTTGTATTGTGATTACAAGTATGGGTGAGTCAATAAAGCTGCACTGCTTGCTGCTCATAACACCCAAACCAGAAAGCAATGTAACCCCTTTAAAAGGAAGCATGTATATTCTTAGCTAGGGCTTAGGTATTAATCTGCTTGTAAAGAGGGACACAGCAAGTGCAAAAAATGAGAGGCTTACATCTGAGGGGAATTGAACCTGCAGCACCCAAACTTGCAGTGGGGGACAGAATGGCAAATCTCAAACACATGAAGCAAGTGACTATGTAACATTGAAGCTTTGAGGAATAAGTTTGGGAGATTTTTGTTCTGGTTCTTTTAATTATCTGGAAATTAAATACATAAGCTTAAATTAACAAGCATCACTAAAGGGTAAAGCCATAAAAGAACCTAGACAGAACATAGGTTTCTGCTTACCGCTTAGGTCTAAAATGTTAAGTTTCAAAACTCTCAAAGTAGTCTAACCACAAAAACATCTCTACCCCACAAACACCTAAATCTCTGCCATTAAAGTAACTCAAACAACTAAAAGCTGCCGACCACCAATGCTCAGAGATACTTCAGACACCTTCAGAACACTGAATAGGTCAAGTCCTATTTCATGCTTAATCCTCACTAGCATTCATAGATTTGTTGTTCTTTCACTTAACTCATATTGAATCTATGAAATAAGATGTTTTCAAAACATAGCAAGTGATGAGACACACTTGTATCCAAAAGCTTGGTGTCTAGATCACTCACCTAGAACACATGAGTTAGAGATGAACTTCCCTACCTACATGGGGAACTGAACATATTTCTCCCTGCACTGTGCCACTCATATGTTGATGTCATCCCCTCCAGATCAAGCTGTTTTGCTTTGGAAAGAATAAAACAACTCTTCTAATCCTAGCAGTCCCTGCTCCAATGAATACATCACAAAGCAGTGAAAAGCCAAATCAGAACCAGTCCTGGAACTCAGGTCATCACTTCAACAGCTAAATTACATTGTTATGTTATAATACTATTATTTTAAGTGGAGCATCCAGGAATTCGCAACACCCCAGAAGTCCAAGTCTGGTAACTTGAACGCCTTGGAAAACATAAGTTGAAACTCCCCTATTCAGACAAGACAGTTGTACATATCTGGTGTTCATGCTTGAAGCACTGAGATGTTGGACAAATAGGAGACAGTATCTCTTCTCTGGCTGCACTTTGCAAGAAGATACAGCCAGGCACCTCCAAGATAAACGCTAGAGCCCCAAATGACAAGTGAAAGAAGATGCGTTTCTACAGTCCAGAAGGCATTGAAGGCCTTGGCAAGGAAAAGGCTGAGTAAGTCTCATCACTTCATTTTCTACCTGAAAGTCAATGTGCTGCCTTTTGCACATCCTATTCTTCTAATTCTTTCTATACAGGATGGAGGAAATCTAGACCTCAATGACTGCACTTAAACCATCTGATCTGTCACTGAACTGGCTTCACTGAAATGTCAGTAAGGATTCTACCCCTCCCATGCAGCATACACCGAACAGATTGGGGGGGCACAAGATGGCGGTTCAAGATCAACCATGACATAAGACAGCAAAGCATACGAGGCTGTAAGACACACTTCCTGATAATGACCTGTTCCCTATTCCAGCAAAGAATTTAAACACAGGGTTTAAATGTGGTATACCTGAATATCGCCACTGATCAAGCATGTGCAGTGCTCCCGTTAAATATTTTCTGGATCAAACCCTTTGGTAATACTTTGTCTCTCACAGATGCAGATGTTAGAGCAAGTATAGGTCCTGCCAAGAGAGAAGTAGGCAGGAAATAATGGAAAACAGGTTAAGACCTCAAGGGGAATAAACAAACAGGAAGCAGTGGGAATAGTGATAGACTTTTGGAGAAACCATGAAATACAGAACAAAGAGGGAACAAAGGAACAAGGAGTCATAGTAACACCGTGTTTGAAAGGGGAGGGGGAAGGTCCAAAGTGTCTAATAATTTTCAAAAAGAAACACCACTTCTCTGGTGCGATGTACTGTAGAGGGACAGAAAATAAAATGATTAATATCTGTATATGGAGTGGGCTGTCTGTGATCCTCAGATACAGAAGTAGACTGCATGGAACACAAATCAATCGCGAATTCTAGAGTGACACCATAGAGGCCTGAGAAATGGGAGATTTGATTATATCAGAGGCAACTAGCTCTAGAGCAAGACTCCAAAGCAATGGGACAGACTAACAAGACAGTTGCAGTCCCTCAAAAGACCAAAAAAGCGTATTTGAAACACCTGTTGTATTACACAATGAGAGTGGGCAGAGAAACATCCAAATCTAGTATTATAAGATACAACATATAAATTTAACAAGTGATACACAATGATGAAATTGGGAGGAGGTTTGTTATCTGAATCAAGCAAACAAAAATTTAAAACCCAAAGTTTCACCTGCATTAAAAAATTTATATTAAGTAACTGAAATTAATAATATGGTAAAGGAAAACAACAAATAGGAAAACAGATGACAAATTATAAGGAATTGTTCAAGTGTGTAAAAAGCAGCAGGAGTGACTGACACAGGCTTTCTGGAAACGAGCTGCCTGCCAGCTGCACCCATACCCATTACTATACTCGTTATTTATTGCTCTGCCTGAATAAGGTCACCTGAGTGATTAATCTGATAAAGCCTCTAGTTAGATATGAGAGAGAAATACCTCTTCTTGATTGTAGGGAGATTGTGAAGTAGTCAGTTTTAGTAGCAGTGAGTCAAAGCATTAGCTCTGGAGCAGCCAGAGGAACACAGGGTGACCAGTGGAAAGGCAACATACAAGGCGGCCTGACCAGTAGATCCTAAACAGCTGTTAGCTATTTAGAAGCTGGACCTTTCTCAGAAAAACAAACAGCTTTTTATTTGTGAAAATCAGTAGCAAGTCTTAAGGACAAATTTCTAAGGACACTGAAAAATGTGTTATTAGAAGATTTACAATGCCCCAAAGATACTATATTTTACTGAACAAAGATGACCCCCATCAATTGTACTTACCACACATTAAATTATATACTTCAATGTTTTCAAATGGATCAACTTGAGTACGAAACTTGAATCCTGGTCCAAAACCAATAAAGATAGCCTAGGATTTACAGAGAAAAGTAAAGTGGAACTCTAAGCCAAATTAAAATGGAAAATATCTTCATACTCAGAGGGCATTTTCTTCCAAGAACTTAATCTTTACTTTACCAACATAGTATGGATCAAGTCAGAAGCATGTTTTCTTTAAAAAAAGTAAATGTATAAGAATAATTTTTAGAACATCATAACAGTATTAGGAAACCCGATTCTGCCTCACTGATGTCTTTAAAAAGTCGCCTTCAGCCACTTATGAAGACCCCTTGTTCTTCCCTGCTCTTGAAGGAGTTAAATTCATTTTCTTAAATGCTTTAAGAGATTTAATGGAAATGTTGAGCCAATATAACCATCACATTTCATACCCTGTAAACAATTTGGAAGCATTTAACTTAAGGCTATAAAAATATCTGTTGGTAGCAATGTTTTAAATGGTTTAAGCAATGGCAAGATCCTAGGCTTCTACGCCTGGTTTGCAGCTGTTCTTTCTTCTTCTTGTACCACTTCCTGAGCTGTACTGGCACAAGCTATTCTGTAGCCATCCAGTGAACCTGATCCAGGAGTGAAGCCAGCTCAAAAAACCTTTTTTCCTGCTGGCTTGTTTCCTTCTGGTTCAGTTCCCTGACCTACTTAACACTGCAGCCTCACAAAGCTTGCACTAGCATATAGCAGGGTTTGCTGCAGGAACAAGAACAAGGCAAGGGCAGCAAATGCTTAAACTTAACTACTGCCAAAAAGATTGTTTTTAAACTTATCCCGATATATTCCGCTTATTTTTAATTAAATGAAACAGATTGCATCTATCTGTTGTATCAAGGTACTGAATAAGTGATGGATGTTTTGCACTCTGTAGCACCTTCCTGGGTAAGATATCAAAGCTCTTTGCAAACAATGCAATTGTCTCAGATTTCACAGCTGTGTGGCAAAAATAAGAGGCTAAAAACTTAACTCAAGTTCTTTTGAGATTAAAGCATAATGCAGGCTGTCATTCTCCAGCTCTTGATACTAAAATCTGTAGTCTAATAATTTACTCAACAAGACTAATTTGAACCAAATGAAGTAGGAACATGCTACCTCCTTTCTGTTGAACTAGGTAATTACAGAGTATGAAATTTATGCTGCTATAATGTTAGCCACAAAAGGATAAGTTATAACTGTTTTAAGACCAATTAGGGATGCTATGAACTGACAATCCCAAGTCTGGCAAAAAGTCTGAATAGAGTCAACTACTAAAAAAAATTTACATAGTCAATTTGTAGCAGAGAGAATATATTAAACTGGCATTTGGCATCACATGGCCTTGCTGGTTGTAACCCATTACTAGGTATCCTATCAACAGGTTGTCGATTGCCAAATTGAGGAAGAAGAGTAGGTCTGGAAGGGTAAACCAATACAAAATTAACACAGGTTTTAGATAACATTTTTTTAAAAGACAGTTTGATATCAACACTACGTAATTCTTAGAAGCCTGATTTTCCATGTCTTGTAGAGCAATCTATGCCTTTCATGGACTATGTAGGTCTCTTCATAAAACCTGTTTTCAATAATTTTTTGAATACAGGTTTTTCTATAGATGTGTTTACACATATTCACTGTAATAGTACCAAATACCTCACAACTATTAGTGGATTTTATCCTGAAAATAGCTTTTTGAAATGAAGAGTATTGCCTTTCATTGATAGCAGAAACTAAAGCAGAGGATGGGTTAAGTGACTTCTCCAAATTAGACAGAGCTGACCAAGGATCTGCTTTCATGTTTCCCTGTGATCTCTTCCAATTTGTCATTAAAGACAAGAATTTCAGGACTCTATTATAAACATGGCTGACATTCTCTCAAGACAGTGATACATAGTCTATCATGACACAGCAGAATTACAGAGTTGGGAGATCATTTAGTCAACTTTTGCAAGAGACAAAATCAAAAGTAATCATGTTATTTCTGAAAGATGCTTGTCTAACCAGTCTTTAGGTAATTCATCTCATGGAAGCTCCACAGACTTCCAGGGCAAACTGCTGTACTCACTAATGGTTAAAAGATGTTTTCTAATAACCAAATCAACTCTTCTTTATTGCAGTTTAAGCCTGTTACTTCGGTTCTTAGGTAACCAAGAAAACAAAGAATGGACTAGCCTTACAGACCAGGGGACTGACTGGCTAGCAAACAACCTTGCTTGCAAGGGCCTGGGTGACATATTTGACAGCAAGCTGAACATCAGCCAGCAGCACACCCTGGCAGCAAATAAAGCCAACAGCATCCCATGCTGCATAAACAGAAGCTCAGTCAGCAGACTGAGGGAAGGGATTATCCTTCACTACGCAGCATTTCTTTAGGCCACATTGGGGTACTGCACCTCCAACATAAGAATGACATCAATAAGTGATCATAACACATTCAATGGAGGCCCCCCAAGGTGGTTGGAAGCTGAGGCTCTTGCCCTGTGATGAGGAACAGGGCTTGTTCAGCATGGAGAAGAGACTGCTTCAGGTGGACCTAACAGCAGTCCTCCAGTACCTACATCACCAAGGAGATAGAGCCATGCTCTTCAGTGCGACACAGTAGGAAGCAGAGAGACAACAGGTATAAATTGAAACAAAAAGGGTTCCGGCTGGCTATAACTAATGCACATTTACACCAGGAGGACAGCCAGGCAGTGGAATGGACTGGTCAGAAGTTGTGGAGCCTCCGGCCTTTGCAGTTTTGAAGATGCAACTGCATAACGCCCTGAGTAACCTGGTCCGATCTCAAAGCTGGCTGTTTTGCATTGGAGGTGGGACTAGAGACCTCCCAAGGTCCCTTCCAATCTGAATTCTTTTAAAATCTGTATTTGACAATTTGATGAGATAAGTTTTCTCTTTTCTTGCTTTTAATGTTACAACAAAACAACTTGGTACAACTTTATAGTCCTACCAGCACAGTGAAATCTCTGGGGTAAGTCCTGTTGGGTTTTTGCCCAATTCTTATGGACAGCAGAATCCCACCCTATGTGGGTTACCCAGCACATCAAAATAGCAATCCTACAAATGCTTGATTTCTTTAATTACAGATGGAATAGTGTCACCAATCTTAAAAAAAAAGATCTCAGCACCCAGCAAACACAACATTCAGAAATAGGAGCCAAAAATAAGAGCAAGCATAAGCTTCAGTCTCACCTGCATACTGGGGAAGCGATTGTCTGAACCATGGAATCCACCCGTGCAGCTTTTAATCTCAAGCGGTTTCCTATAAAAAAATTCAGTTTATATAACTCACACTTTACAAGTCATATCAGTATAAAATACATTCAGTGATGCATTGTTTACTTGTCTATTTGAAGATTCTTAGAGGCTTGTCCCTAGGGAATAGAATGTCTTTAAGGTCTGGAAGAGAATGCTTTTACAATCAGAATGATAGTTTTCTCTGCAAATGTTATCCCTTTGGAATTCTCAAGAGTCCAGAGTCATTTTAAAGTCAAGTATCAGATGACATATGAACAAAATGTTTGTTCTCAGGATAACAGATTTTCACTTCACTCCCGTTTGGGTAACAGAAATTTACAGTACTTTATGTAAGTAGATTTTTAAGACTGTCAGTTTTTTTAAAATGAACACTGTAATGTAATTTAAAGCATTCAGCTGGGCATCTTACAGTCTAATAAAAACAAATCTCCAACACATGCCAGGTCCATACATATTATTTAAACATGTACAGTTCTAGTAACCCAAACCTGATTTGCATGACTTGGACACGTTTACAGTGTTATACAACAGGACTTACTGAATACATGGACTGAAGAACTCTTTCATGATGAAAGCCCTAGAGTATCACAGTGGTGTTCAAAGATGTATTACTATAGCAAGCACCATTATTCTGGGAGTTGTAAATTAATTGGTCAGAACATGCAAGGTAACTAACAACAGTGGGCTCGGTAACTTCAATGTATACCAGTGGATCACTCGCAAGACTGATTCAACTGAGTAGTTATGCACATGCTTAGCTTTCATGACTCACTTTGGAACTTCCTAAAACATGGCAAGATGTGCTCAAGTATCTGACAAAGGGGACTGTAGTTTCTAACATTTGTGCCACAAAGCCTGCCACTACCTGTGTACTCAGCAGGGAGAGTATCTATGGCTGCCAGTTTAGAATTGAGCCTCCTCAGGCCAGCAAAAACTGTAGAGAAAAGCATGCATCATTTCTTTGCAATATGCCTTTGCTATGACAAACAAGAATACCATGCTCCAATAGCTATCATTGAAATCAAAGCATCTGGAAGAGAAAAGCTAGGAAAAAACAAGTTATTTGCTGTATAGTCAAGTACTGAAAGCTATAACTTACCTAGCAAGCTGCCATTGGGAGTCTAAATAGAAGTGCAATGGTTCAATCCGGTCATTATAGGAATAATGGAAACGCTTGGGTAGCAGCTGTTTCATATAAGCTTTGAAAGGCTGATGTGGTTCTATGCACTGAAATGTTTAAATAAAAATGTAAAATGTACATTTCAAACTTTTGCTTATGTGACACACAGTTCTTATAAAGCACTTCCATTGAAAAGGGTCTGCAATAACTTCCACTAAGGACAACGAGACTCCATCAGGTTTGGAGTCATATGGTCTGGGATATAAATATTAATAACTCTTTAAATAACAAATAGTGACTGGTTTTGCGTTCAATATTTATTAGAAGAATATTTATATTGGATTATTGACATAAATAACTTTTTTCTTGCAGCCTACAATTGTACAGAACTGAAGAGTACTGCTTAGAATTAATAAAGAATTACACTGAGACATGAACATCATGATACTTTCACAAGTGGCAGGAGACTACACAGTGCAATAATTCTACAGCTCTATAATGCAAAGTAACAGACATTCAAAGGGGTTTTAGATTGGTCACTTAGGGACAAATAGATTTTTCCACCAACTAAGATGCATTAATGATTTGGAAAAAAAACCAAACAAAAACACCAACAAAAACACAAATGAAAAAATCCCTCTACTGCAACATTGGAATTTTTGAATAGTGAAGTCATCTATACAAACAGAATAGCTCTCACCAACAGCGGTGTCTGCACAACTGAGAGGCAAACAGATAGTGGTACAGGGATGAGAGCAGAAGCCAAGTATATAGCAGAAAAGCAAATTCCTTAAGCTGGAACTGACAAAAAAAAAATCATATCCTCTCTCAAAGCTGTTTATCAAAAAGGTGTGAGCAAGAAAGTCTTCTGCTTGTCCAGGAAACAGAACTGAACTTTACACTGACTTGGCCCTCAGCCAGCTCCTTAAGCCGGAACTGACAAAAAAAATCATATCCTCTCTCAAAGCTGTTTATCAAAAAGGTGTGAGCAAGAAAGTCTTATGCTTGTCCAGGAAACAGAACTGAACTTTACACTGACTTGGCCCTCAGCCAGCACAGTCCAGATACACAAGTTCTCCAGTTTGAAGAGCAACACAATACAGTTAGTGAAAAGAAGTCAACACAAAACCTTAGTTAATGCACAACCACAGATAGCCATATGATACCTTACTCAGCTTTGACCTTCCCTTCCCCTGCATGGAACTACTTTTGCTGTTGTTGTTAACTGTATAGCATATGGAAGGACACTGATTCAAAGTCCTATGTAAGTGCCCCAGCAAACAGCTGATGCTATAAAATATCTGTAAACGTCAGTAGAAATTAAGCTAGAACAACAGGTAAGACTACACTTACTGTGAGGTTTCTGACAATGCCTTCATAATTAACTGGAAGAATCATATGTAAGAATTAGTCACCTAAGTTGAAAAAAAAATCAGATTTAAAATGAAAGCATTCCCATCACATAATATAATTAGCTTAGTTTCAAAATATTTCTGGACATAAGAAATAATTTTTCCAGAATGAAAACCATATGGAACAACAACAAAAAAAAAATCACTAAACTGTCAAGCCATTGCTTTTATGAAATTTTAGTTCACAATCTCTCTTCCCCTTGTTTACTTTAGAGCTGTAAAATTTTAAACTATAGTAGCCACAGTCAGAAACATAATCTGAGAAGTAAGTTTTCAGAGAGGCAACTAAATGCTGTGCTAATCAAGCTGCATTTTTCCTGCTTACTAATAAATTCCTAAAGAAAAATACAACTATCAGAAGAGCAGTTTTATCTGGCAAGCATCCTTAGATAGCCAAGTGCAAGCTGGCTAAGATTCAGATTCTTGGACTCAAGCTAAAAGGGACTATTACATCATTCAGCTTGACGTTTTGTATAACACAGGCCCACCACATTTCACAGTTACTCTGTCCTGAGTCTGATATCCAATGCTTGACTAAAGTACATAAAGGATTACACTGGCAAGGGAACCATTAATAATCCCTGCATAGATATATGCAGTGCTACAAAAATAGCTATGCTACTTCATGAAAATGGTGCACGTGTCAAAAGCAGGAGATACTCTGCTTTTCTTCCTGAACTTGTTTCTCCAGGGAGAACCTGGAACTGCATTTCACTCCCACGTTCTCCAAGGAAACATTTAAAACAGTTTAGAATAGCATCAAGCAATGAGGTAAACAGGACTTAGAGTCACTGGTGTTGAGGTCTACAAGTTTTAAAGGGCACAGAGAACAATAATCTAGATAGAAAAAAACCAACTTATGAAACATGAAGGCAACACCTGCATTCAACATTAAAAAGTACCAAAACTTGCAGGCATTAAATGTTCACCTAAAATGAGGCTGCATAACAAATCAAAGTTTAACATTTGTAAGCATTCATTGATTATTTTTTTTACTCAGATTCATTATATTAGGTTTATTTGCAGTCTACTCAACTGCTGTCAGGCTATTAGGCCATTTTTTAAATAACTAGGAAATACATTACAATACTTATAAACTAATTTGTAAAAGATAGTAACAAATCTCACATTCCTTTAAGACAGAAATATGGCAAATTTTATATGTAAACTGCTAAATGGGGAAACAAGGCAAGACACAAGGGTGGGACTTTTGGGCTGTCCTGAGCACCAAAGATCTGATTCAAAAGAAATGCCATTCACAAGGCAAGAGCATTTGCAGTCAATTACTCTGAGGCAGCCTGCAAAAGCAATCTGTAGGATTCAAATACACTTTCAGACCTGCAAACTCAAATGGTCTTAAAAAATGCAGGTGCACTACTCAGTATTTCCTCTTCATCTTTATCCAGGTTGTCCCTAGTTGACCTTCACTCAGGTTTACCAATGGAATATGTGGATCCTAAGTTTGTATTCGTAAAGTACAAAAGCATATAACTGAGTAACAAAAATTAGTTTAGCAATTACATACAAGAGAAATACTCATCTGGAACATTATTAGGTCTTAAGCGAGCTGCAGGACCAGGTACTACTATGAAATCTTGAACATCATCCAGATAGCTGTTCAGATATGCTGTTTTTCTGCAGCTCCCCGCTTCCATCCCTGCAAAAGAAAACAAATTTTATTTGAAAAAACGGAACATCAATGTAGAGTAGCCTTGCTGAGGAGACATGTAACTTAAGTTGTAGAAGTCAGAAATGTAATTTCTCAGGTCTTTATCAGCAACCCCAAGACATCTGATCCAAGGAGACAACAATACTTATGTATGCAAGAAAACAAAACACTACACAGGTACACACAGTCACCCATTTCCTCAGCCAAGAAAGACACGTCAATTGAATAAATAGACAAATTTTCTTCTTAAACTCATAAGATTTTTTCCCTTCAGAGAACAGTAGGAATGGTCAGACCATATATTCATTTAGCCCAATATCCTACCTAATAGTGTTCAGTAACATGTCTAGAGAAATACCCAATAAGCACAGCAACTATGGACTGATCTTCCTCACACTGTTCCTTATCAGTTTCCAGAAGTCAAAGGAACTTTGATTTGCATATTGCATTTGAACTCTTATTTTTAATAATTCTTGACAGGTTTATCATCTATTAATTTTGTAAATATTTTTTAAACCTGTACAGGTATTTGGTTTGGATCATTCCCAGTGGTAATGAGTTGTGCAAGTCAGTTTTGTGCTGCATGGAACTGTGCTTATATTTTGTTTGTCAGGAAAAGAAGCAGAAAAAATGTATTTGTAAAAATATATAACTTATCATAGAAATAATTCTAGAAATACAGAAAAGCTATTACAGAAATAAATCAGTGTCTCATACTGACAGCCTTCTAATAATGGATAAGGGAACTGATAACTGACTGAAAAGATATCGCTTGTATTTTCACTTCTTCAGCAATTTGCAAACTATTGCTGTGTAGTGTAATTAAAAGAATAAAATGAAATTTTTTTTTTTTTACACTTCACATTTTTTTATTCTATTTCTTTTATTGGCTAGCAATGATCACCAAAGGAATTAGGAATAAAATATGAAAACTATTTAATCCTTCCTTCTGTTCTCCGTGTCTTCCCCCCTCCCCTCAAAACAGCCTGATTCTCACTTACACTGATTATCTCTTACACCAACTTGATAATATAAAATGTAATTTCTAGGTATTAGCTACTTCGTTAACCTTGACAGAAGCATGCAAGTATAAACTCAGAATATTACTTTATAAAAACAGCTCTTCAAAATTTTGATATATTTTCTAAAATCAAATTTACCATGATCTGATATAAAAATAATGTTCAGGCATTTATGCAAGTTCATTTGCTTGAGACCATCCATCAGCATCCCTACTATGTTGTCCACTCTCTGTAATGCCACAATGACCTGCAGGACAAAAACAGGAATGTAAGGTAAGTGTTAACCACTTTAATCAAAAATAATTTATTTTTAGGGAGAGTGAATAAATTTAAACTGTAACAGTTTAAATTGTAACAGTATGTGTTAATAAAGAATAAGAAGGTCTTCCTATAGACTATTCAAGTCTGAAAGGATGGGAAGTTCAGGCTACAGGGTGCCAGGGGAAGTTCAGGCTACAAATCAGGAGGCATTTCTTCACAGAAAAGAGTCATTAGGCATTGGAATGGGCTGCCCAGGGAGGTGGTGGAGTCACCATCCCTGGAGGTGTTTAAGAAAAGACTGGACGTGGCACTTAGTGCCATGGTCTGGTTGACATGGTGATGTTAGGGCAAAGGTTGGACTCAATGATCCCAGAGGTCTCTTCCAACCCCAAATCAATTCTGTGATTCTAGATGCAGTCCAGACATAAATGGAAGGACACAGGGGACCTGCACTGTGCAGTAACCCCCAAACTCATGAGACAGAGCACAGATAGCACACACTAACGGGAAGAACTGTGAGGACAGGAGACTTAGAGAAGTAGGAACAGGCAAAAAGCAGGTTTAATGGGGAATTGAGAATGCTCTTAGTTGTACACCCTTTAGATGCATAGTCTTTGCATCTACTGAGAATGGACTCAACAGAAACACCTATATTGCTAAATAAAAACGGGAGCCTGCAGACTGCCTAGCACCTGCGCTGTTCAGGGCTATCTCCATCTACAGCAGACTGGCTATATCTATACTACACAGCTCTTAGCCCCAATTTTTTCTGGGCTCCACACCATGCTAAGACACAGCTACACATTTTCATGTGTTATTTCAGTTGAAGACATCAAAAAACAAATAAAAAAACTAAAACCCCTAGGTTATAGCCAGTGAGGGTGGTTTTAAAGTATGAAATTGAGGACATTTGTTGCATTACCAGGGGCACAGACAAGGACAAGAGGGAATGCCTAAGGGTACAGATGCTGATGTGAGAATACCAGAGGGCTGAAGAGAACAGAGGAAGCCAAGCCAGCAGCACTCTTCCTTAAAATCCCTGGAGCAAACTGTCCTTGAAATTGTGCCTATGTTAGTCTCAGAGCAAACTAGTTTAAAGGGACTGAAATAGCCAAAGAATAAGCTACCAGTCTAGCACCGTTCATGATCAGGGGTCTGGCATTCAAGCTGACTTGCCTAGGTACAGCCACTGGGGCTACTTTTGAATACTTGCTAAGTAAACAAAATTTTAAAAGTACTTTTAAATTATATCATGCTGTTACCTCATTGAACCAGTTGTATAACCTGTCTTGCTTTGTGTCAACAAAGATGAGATTCTCTTGGGGAAACTTTCTCTCCAGAGCATTCATGACATACAGAACTTTAGATCCACTTATTAACTGAAGAAAAGGATAACCAATTTAAACACATCCCCCGTACTGCAGTTCCAATTAGTTGTCTGCTACTTCACTAGGCACTTACAGTCATCTTACAGTTCCTTACAGGAACAGTAACTGCTCACAGCTCAAGAGAAATTGGCAAGAGCTTTTTACTCTTGTCACCACTGAGGTTAAGTACCTGGTTAAGATGCTCAAACTTCCTGACCAGTCAAGACAGGAGAATTTTACAAAGTTCCTGAATTTCCAAGAGCTTTTAACAAACCGAAGTGAAAAATGCAAAGGAAAAATGTAAAGCTATTTAGCACTTTTGAAAACAGTAGCAGTCCCAAAGTCTTCTTGTTTATACAATAGGTACACCACAGACTGATGGGGTGAATATCCCTTTTATCACCCTCTTTCCGAGAAGGTATAAAAAAAAAATCTAACTGCAGGGAGATAAGACCAATATGCTTCTAACCTCTGCACAGAGACTGAGGGAAAAATAATTACAATTATAACATGAATACTTAACCACAAAACTTGGACCATTGCTATAAAAATCTCTGTTCTTGCTAAATTGGAAGTATACAAACTTTCTGTCCCCCTCCCAAAGCACTAAAATCAACATAAAGAATTAGTAGCAGAAGATAAAACAACATACAAGACATACCCAAACATGCTTTGGCAATTTAAGTTATTGAAATGAAGAAAATTAAATTTAGACTTATTAAATAGGCTGTTTATTACATGCTTTGTATCAGTGATAATTGTAGATAGGCTGAATATTCACAAATTTTTCCTAATAAGCATACTGAACATGGTCTTGGTTAATCTAAAATGAATTATGGAAATTTATTATCGAGCCAGAGCAAAGTTTCAAATTAAAAAAGAAAAAAATTAAGAAACTATAAAACTACTTACTCCGCTGCTTACTGGTCCAAACTTATGGCCTGAGGAATCTGGTTCTTCTAAATACAGAGTGTAAAAGTGTGGTCTATATCAAACAGTACCAAAAATGTAATATTTTACATACACGTTGAGACAGTTTGAAGATAGTATATTTCAACAATGGATATCAAACATTGGAAACACCACTGTCATTCAGGGGAAGGAGACATTAAAGGGAAAAATCAAGAAATGTAACTTAAAAATTATTTTAGTCACAGAAACAGGCTTGCATTAAATAGTCCTTTAACATTGTTAGACTAACGCATAAGACGTTGTTTAAAGCTGAAATCATATTTACAGAGCAATTCATTGCAATACTACTTGAACAGGAACTTACACTTGTAATTGTGTACCTACCTTTCATCTTCAGGCAGCTGCAGCCAGCGAAGAACAGTTACCACCCTTTCTTCAAAGGGGATTGAGCTATATCAGAACAATACAAGATCAACCTAACAGTCCCAAGAGCTAAAAAAAATTTTAGTCACATATTACAAAAATTAATGTACTTCAGCAGAGAAAATTGAATTCAACTGGATGCCATTAATGGCTATTTAGCAGGATGCATGTTTACCTATGCTAATTGCCTGTGACTCTACAGGAGTTAACGGCCTGATCTAAAGCTCCCTCGAATATTGTCCCTATTGATTGCAATGTGATTAGAATAAAGCTCCCTGTATAATGAACAAAAACGATACTAAGAGAGTAATTGGCTCACAAGGTGCAAAATCATGTGCAAGTTTTCATTCCAGTATTATGTTTTGAAAAAGTTTTGGTCTGGGGTGGTTTGTGTGTTGGTGTTTGGGTTTGTTTTTTTAATTTTAAACAGTTTGAATACAAGTTCTCATCTTATGTCACAAAGTAGATGCTCTATATCAATTGCTGGAGTAGACCAACAATAAGCATGGTGACCTGTAATAATACAAGGCACCCACAAAGCTGCTTAACACAAGTAACAACATTAACACAAGTTCCAAGTGAAATAAAAACATGGGTAGTAAGTCAAGAATCAGAATTGCCATGCTATATGAAGGGTGTAGGAAGAGAAAATCATTCTAGGAAGACAGAAGTCAAAAGCCCAATTTCTTGGATGGGATTTGAGATTAAATGGTGATAAACAGATTTATGTATAATTTTCATTAGGTAGAAAACAGTTAATTGCAGTGAAGAGCAATCACTGACTAAAATATGACTGCCTTAATGTGAAATATTTTCAAAATTTGCAATGAAAATAATTTTACCTCAGAGCAATTTACCACAGTCAACAGTAAAACTTTAGTTTTCATGGACAATATCACATCAAAACCTGAATCATTCACTTTGAGAAATTTGGATTGAATGACTCTAGACACACCCACAAGATTTTTATAAACAGAAGAGCACTAAAGCTTCAAAGTTGGCTGTTCCTAAACTTGATTTTTCCACATCTTTCTGGTAAAATGTTTGCTGAGGAATGACAAAATGATTAGACAAAGAATCTATATTATACTCATAACATTAATTGGATCCTATCGTTCTTCACATTGCGTACAACTATTTAGAAAAGCAGGAAAAAATTTATGCTTTCTCTGGCATCTGTCCCATTGCAACAGTTAAAGTAAAATATTCATCCAAGATGCAGGAGTTTACATACCTATTGTATTTTTCATACAGGTTTGGAAAGGTTCCATTAACTGCTACATCTGATCCAGGCCAAAAGAACGTACCCGCTTTTAGACCTTGGTACATAGCCGTTAGCCAAATCTGCAGAAGAACTGCCATCGTTAGTGCAGATCACTGAATTAGCTGAGTAACTGCCAGATCCACTACCACCCCCGCACCTTTTCAGCAAGATCAAAACCTAAAAATGTGAGTGGAGCACCTCTGACAGTCAATCTTGCACGTCATCGCTATCTGTGGTCCAGATATACCTTGCAACCTGATTCCTTATGGCAAACACTGACATCCCTTCTGCTGCTACACCGGAGGGAGCCAGGACAGAAGCAGGAACCACTATCTCCCATAGATGGAGTGGTCATGCAATGCTAGAACCATGGCTGAACACCAGGAAGGGGAAATGTCTCAAGAACCATGAAGCAAGAAGGGGTGGGAATGTTCTGAGGACCTAATCCCCACATACTCTGAAATATGGGAGCAAGACTTGGGTCAACTCTTCCAATTTTACTGCTGATCTTATGATTTGCAGATTTCCATCTGCCTTCTGCATCTTTTCCTGCCTGATTTGTACACGACTTTCTTCTCAGTGGCCTGCAAAGTCTACACTTGTACGTTCTTTCCTAAAAAAAGAAACCTCCATCCTCCCCACATCACTAAATAGTTGCATCTGTTCCCTTGCTACTCTTCAGGCTAGCATTCACTCAAACTTTCCCATGCCACTTCATTTTGATGGTAGTCTCAGCAGATTTGCCATAGCTGTATGATTGAACAGACATTTTCTTGTAAAATCATGCTTTTACACTAAGTAGTAATTTGAGCAGAGTGTAAACCTTTACTACTGCTTCTTACTAAAGCTAACTGGTCTGGCCATTTCCTCAGAAAAGTTAACTGCAAGCCAACTTCATATTAAAAACAGAACAAAGTCTGGTATCTCTATTAGTTATTTTAAGTAAGTTTTCTCCTTAGAGAAAATTCCATTTAAGTTCAACAAAATCTGTTACACTTTCAGTTGTCATTTTGCAGCTCCAGTATGGCAGTTCCTAATCATGCTGAGTAATGCTTCTTGGCTGACTTAGAAGTACCCTCTGTACTCTTTCAACATCACTATGCATCCAAGTGATATTGAATAACATAACAGGCTGATGTACATTCTCAGTGGTGTACTAATACTTACAGGCTGTCCTTGGTACCACTGGGGATTAAACTTCTCCTCACTTCTAAGGGTGAAGGATGCATTTCTCTTGGGGTCATACATCTTGTTATCTATAATACCATGAGATTCAGGATACAGCCCCTATAATTCAAAGCATACATTGTCACAATGTTATAAAGAAACTTCTGGCTACACAGATGTTCATTAAACAAATATGTTCAGTGAATAATCTATATGTGACTTCACCATCACGACCTCAAGACCCAAATTCAGCAGCACCACCTACCATTGCCACCAAGCCCTACCTTCCAATTCTTAATTGCTTCTCAGTGAGATTAAAAAAATAGGCAAGCAACTTGCTCTGAAATCAAACTGAAAGACACCATCTCAGCTCCTGCATTTGTTGTATCTTTAGTACCAATGACAAAGCAATTCCCCATGCTGGGCCTCCATCACCTGACCAAAAATGGTATTTCAAAGAACTGCACATCAGAGGGTGAAAGTTCTATCCGGGGCCGTCCATTAGGCAAGCAGTGAAAGAAGTGCTCAGAGGCACCAGCTGTTAGGTCATTTTAATAGACTTTGTGCTCTGCCTCCAAGCAGACTAGCTCCTTTTTACCTTAGAGGATATAACACCACAACCATTAGGACCCCGATAAACATGCCCACTACTTTTCACAAGAGTGGGAAGCAGAGACAAAGCTCTATACTGTATCTAGGGACACTCTCACATGACTGCAGGGCACGATTAATATCTCTTAGTTGATATTCAATCATGGGTATTTGTGAGGATTACACAATTAAACACCTCATTCCTGTGCACCTCACTTACCAAAAGTCCTGACAAGCTAAGAAGATAAGAAAGAAGGCGCAGATCCTCAAGTATTTGATTGATTTTTAGGTCTGACATGATGAAACTAAGAAAGATCTGCTGGATTCCAACCCTGTATTTGGTGCTGAAAACCTCTATTTTTCTTTATCCTCCTATATGCAGGGGGTGATTTTTTTTTTTATAAAAAAATCAGCTTTGACATTCCTATCCAGGCTTGGGTACAGTCCAGAGTCAACATCAATACGATGTTCAAATCATTCATTTCATACTCTGAGTTGTGCCAAGCTACCTTAAAGAAGTGGAACAAGGCCAGCAGTTTAAAGGACTCGGGCTGCTCTCACTCCACGAGAGAACAAGCTGCAATTGGGTGGAAATATTTACACAAACGAGGAGTTGTAAAGTGATGTGACCTTTCACCTTTACAGGAATTCTTGCAACTAGTCTTGGAAGGATTGGATTACTTAATCAGACCTGACCACTAATTACTAAATTAGATCTGACTACTTAGCTGTAGTGTTATATAATGATTGTTAATCTAAACTAGATAAAGAGTATAATATATACATTTTCCTATTACGAAGGGAAATCCTATTTTAGTAATCCAAAGAAATATACTATTCCCTTGAGACAACTTGATAATGAACAGTCTCTTCAGCAGTGGAAACACATAATATACAGGAATTCTTACCGTGACGATGGAGTAATGATTGGGAAAGGTTTTTGAAGGATACACTGGTCTCATACTGGAAGTGTATGTTCCACATTTCTCTAGAGGGAAGGAGAAAGAAAATCAGCAAATTATAGAACTAAAAACCCTTGTAAGTTTCTCTTGTGAAGAGATATACCTACTAAAAAAAAAAAGAGAAAAACATAAGATATTTTCCCAAAGTTCTCATTCTTCAAAATTCTGGAGTTAATACTTCATTTTTCTTCCCACATTCATTTACAGGCTGACTAAATGGCTATTAATACAAATTTTATATATTCCTAATGACTGCCTTCAATGGTCACATGAGCAAAACGTACAGTCTTTATGAAAAGCCTGCATAGATAAGAATGAATAATCAAAGAAATCAATCACACCCTCCAAAGCTGCCCTGGTAGATAGTAAGTGAAGTCTGCAGCTTGAGACCAACTAGCTACTCCATCCTGGGCACTCCCAGAGATGTAGACGCCACTGGCACAGTGACGTCCTGGCTCTCTCAGTCACCTGTCAAATCATTATTTATTTTGCGGTCTCCTTTTTGTTTGTGGTGGTTTTGTTCGGGTGGTTTTTTGATGTTTGTTTTGGTTTTGTGTTGTTTTGGGTTTTTTTAAATTAAAAATAAGCTCTTATTCTAGGATGAATCTCAAAGTTTTTTATCTTTATATAAAAATCACAGGTTTTTATAGAGATTAGTGCACAGTATTTGCTAGTATGAAGAATCATTAGCCAGGCCAAAGCACTTAAGCAAACCTTAAGTTAGGTGCCTAAATTTCTACAGGAAAATGTATGGTGTCTGATTTTCAGAAAGAAAAGTAAAAAAGAAAAAAGCCTTCATTAATGACTTCAAAAATACTATGCGATAACCAAAACCACTTCAACTGATACTAAAGAGCCAAAAGTAATGACCCTATAGGAAGACTACCACTGGGCTATCTTCACTGGCCTTCTAGGTCATTATATATAATATAAATAAAACAGAAGTGAAAGGTTTGACAATATAAAAAGTGTTGCATCAAGGCACTTTGAACTCATTGAATTGGGGCTTTGGATTAGATCTCAGTTGAAATAATCCATTTGAGCTGAGATTAAAAACACCAAGTCAAAAAAATAATTCCTCTCAAGTTATAGACATCCTCTCCCACATTTGCATCCTGTAATAACGAATCATCACTTGTACCCTTTTTGCTACTGCAACACACTTCTGCATCTCATCCATTTCCATATCTGTTGTTGAGGCTGTTTTCCAAAATCGTAGGGTTTCTGTAGGGGTGGGTGGGGAGGTTGAGGGGTTTTTGTTTTGTTTGAGGTACGAGAAAAATATGCTAAAAACCTTTTGTTTTGTCCAAAATCCTAGGAGGTTTTGCTAGGACTTTCCATAAGCGTTATCTTTCTTATTTTTGGCATGTTGCATTAGTTATAGATAATTTAAGACAACAGGAGGATTTATTTAAAACTTATGATCACAGTGTAGAAGTACGTGAAAATGTCTTCTCTGAAACCCATATGCACACATTATGGCTATGCCTGGGTTCACTGAAAATCCTCAGCTCCATGCTGAATTGCCCACCTTTCAACAGGTAGCAGAGAGAGTAAGTGTATAATAAAACTTGCTAAAAGTGAAATTATGATATTGTCTTACAGGTATCTACTAACAGTTTTCTTCAAGGAGACATCAGAATTTCACTGTAGGCATGGCAGAATTAACAGGGCTAGATAATGGGACTATTTTTATCTAACAGAATGCTGCAATTGTCATCAAGTGTTTTAAAGAGTAACATCCAGGGATTTAGCATGGTTCTAATTTAATAAAGAACTGGATAGTCCAGTAAGTTACTTAATGCGAGTAACTCTTCACTGCTCTGTAAATGCTGTCATTCAAACTGTGTCGCTTTTTGAACATTTATAGTTCTATAGATGGATAACTATGAACTTCAAAAGGATTCAACACAATTTTTCAGCAATAGTCAAGCAATTTATCCATTATTGTCACTTGTCTACCACAGAGGAATAGATTTATTCAGAATGACATTTTATTCTAACATGGAACAAAATGAAAAAAGTTAAAACCTCAAATACATCTGTGAATTGTTATTCTCTGGAACAGATCAAGTTGTAACAACCACTGTACAAAAAAGCAAGTATTTTTACTGATTTATTTTTAGTCAAACTGAAATTACTACCTGGAGTGGCTGGTTTATGAATGACATGAAGATTGGCATACTGTTCAGACAAGAAGTGCCATCAGTTCTTCACAGACCACAGCCAAATAGAGACAGGAAAAGTAACTAAAGTTACTTAGACACTACAGAAGCTAGGGAAAAAATATGTACTTATGAGGCTCTCACTTCTTCTGAAAATGTTTGTTAATGAAGGTTTTCTCAGATTCAGCACACTTCTACCAGCCCTTCTATATCATCTGTTCCTAATCTCTTCCTTCTCCATCTTCTTTTTCAAATATAATCAAATGCTTTCTACTTTGGTTTCCATTTTCTAAAGCCATTCCACCTAAATATGAGACAATATGCAATATAGAGTAAAAAGTGGGTCTACTTCTATTTTGAAGAAATAAAGTAAGCTCACAGCAAAAAGCATCCACCTCCTAAATATATGAAGAGCTACTTAAAAATTACTAAGGTTTCACTGAAAATTCAAGGGCCCCTTTCCTCATGCTCTCCCCCTCTTCGCCCTCCTACCCTACCACACCTCAAGTTCTTTGCGCACAGTTGTTTAGGTCAACAACTTCAATTTCCATGGAAGAAGAGCAAGGATTTTAAAGAGTAAGCATAGCTGCATCTCTGGATTTTTCAAGTAAGACATAACGATACTGCTTAGACAAAGAAACTACTCACGTAATTTGCTAATAACAGGTAGAAGTCCACCCCAAGTCTGCAAATATTCTGCTCTGAAGCCATCCAATGAAAACAGTAACACCGGAGACTTGGTAAATCTGAACAAACAGAAATTGAAGTATTAAGAGACACACTGAGAAATAATTTCCTATCACTTATTTCAAGAAAGTCTCCCCCCAAATTGTGGGGACGTTCATTATGGAATTATAAACCAGGGCAAGGAAGTAAGTCTTCCTAAGCAGGCAGGTTTGCAGGCTGGCACAGCAGTGAGCAGACCAGCCACTCCGTCCCTCCACCCATCGGCTGGCATAGCAACCCTGCCCAAAGAGGCTGAGGATTGCAGTAGGACATGCACAAGGAAATCATGACAAGGCCCAAACTGACAAACACCCATAAAATAAAACGACAAGCCAAAATGCTCATGTAATCTGTCTGGTAGGTTTGGTAATCCTTATCTTGAAATCAGTCCCACTGGAGCAATGCTCAGCCCCTCCAACCCCCCCACCCCAAGGTAAGAGCAGGGAAAGAAAAGAGGTAATGAGAAGCCATGGCTTTCCTTTATTCACTTTGCTCCTGAACAACTTGTAATTTAGCTGAAAAAAGGAATTTATCTTTTTACATATACAGTGCACAAAATTGTAAGTCTAATGTACAGGATATGTTAAATCTGTGGCTAACACACACATTTTTCCTTTCATCTTATAAAGATTATTTAGCTAAAAACTTGGTTACTGTACCAGAAGTACTACTAATCTCCAGACTGAAAATGTGGCCCTACAACTAGAACACTAACAGTATTTCTGCCTGGAACTTGACAGATAAATTCCAAAACTAATTTCACTGGAACTGGCAAAAATAAATTCTCCCCTTCTAATCTCCACAGGATCTATGTTTTCCAGCCTTGACTTGTTCTCAGCTTCAGCCCTGTTCAAACAATTTCTCTCCAACTAAGTACTTAAAACATTGCATCAGACAGGAATAGTCTTCAGTAACTTCTTCCTTGAAGAAAAAATATCCTGTTTGACCTACAGATACGAGGACATGTGAGACCGCAACAAAAAAATTCACTGCAGTGCAGCACCAACAACTGAAAATATAGATTCGCATAAAAGATCTGAATATATTTCACATGTCAATTGCAAGCTCATTTTACCTTTTCAGTTACAAATCATAAAACAAAAATGTTTTTTAAAAAACTTTGTTGCACTTCAGTTTCCCAAAATAAAACAACGAGGATAGAAGACAAATATTATTTAGAAAGTGTTGACAATTTCTTTAGTGAGACACCCTATGAAAAAAATCCATTCATTTACAAGTGCAACATTTATAAGCCTTACTTCAGTCAAACAAACATGACTATATTAAACTGAAGATCAGTCAGGCAACAAAAACACATCTATCCTAAGATAATTTTAATCAACAATTTGGACAACAGTTCAGCCAAAAGGATTTCATTAGTCAGAACCATTACACAGCCTACCCTACACCCCACACAGAACAAAACATTAAGAGGTATTTGCAAGATGTGTGTTTGTAGCTTGGTTTTTATTTATATGGTATATTTACTTACTTATATTTATTTATATATATCTTTTGAAAAATCTTAGTGTGGGCAGTTAGTTGGGAACAAGAAATTAATGATCTTCAGACCACGACTAAAGTCCTTCAGCAGAACAAAGTAGGGAAACTTCATGCACTACCTTTGCTGATATTACAAGTAATTTTTTGCACCATATTCTGATCTCTGCAACTCTTGCAAATATCTTCTCTGCCCTGCTTCCCCAACAAAATTATTCCCTCCAATGCAGAGGTCTAAAAGTCTTCACTGCAAAGTTTCCTGCAATAAAATATGAACTTTGAGGCAAAGACTGTTCAATATTACTTACTGACGCATCTAACTTAAAAACCCCACACAAACCAATTTTAATACAACTCCTTTGAAAGGGACTTTACGCAATCGTTTTGGGTTTGGCATTTACAAGTAAACCAACCGTTAAGTACATGTTTTGGTTGTCTGCAAATCCAGCTACTGGTCCCCTCACACACGTAAAATTAAACTTGGCAAAACAGACCATTACCACAACTAGGGAGATTGGCCATTTCACTTCTTGTATACCCTATACATGCTGAAACTCATATAGCTAGTGATCTGCCCTGTGCTCAGGGAAGCAAAGCATGACAGATCATGTCAAACTGCACTCTTTGGAACAGCTCCAGTAAAATCCCCAGACAAACTGACCTGAGCTCAGTTCTGAGCTAAATCAGCAGTTTCCATGACTTTTTCCTGTCGTTAGCAAGGCTACACTTGCTATTTCAAAAGTGTGCTACCATGAGCAAGCAACCTGGGAGCCTCAAGTTCTGGCCTTGCCAGCGAGTCATGCTGGCTGTGTCCAAACAGTACGACAAGGGTGTTTCACAGGTCTTGGATAAATATGTACACCACAGTCACATCCTGACTCCAAACTGAAGGAAAATGCAGTGGTAATTATCCCCTCCTATAAACTGGCTTCTATGGAAACATAATGCAGGCAACACAGGCTTGCTGTGGTCTAGCAGGTTCACCAGTCTGGATGATTAAGAGCCCAAAACTGCTGACCACACTGCCAAGCTGGCCTGCCTCAACGCAGGCGAGTTAGACCACAATTAAAGGAAAAAAAATAGAAGAACAGGAAAAAAGAAAAGAAAGTCCCCTTGAAAAGCTAACATACTACACAGAAAACTTCCTATCCCCCCCACACATACACTACTGCCTATATACAGCCATAAAACATAGGAAGTAACGCTGTCTTTTCCACTAAATGTATGTAAAGCCTCAACAGGACGCATAATAGCAACCTTCAATTATACAGGAGAGACCTGCAAATAGGAAAGGAATCAGCTGCTCTTCCAGCTCAATGAAGACAGAGCAAATAGTAATAGGATTAAAGTACAGCAAAAGATGCTAAGACATCAGGAAAACCATCTAGCTAAGCATGAGAAGAAACTGCTTAAATAGGTTTGAATTCTCAGAGTATTATTTCACTCCTAGAACAGCAGGAACAACTAGATCACTCCTGAAATCTTATAGCCTGTTAACTTATTAAATAACATAGAACTTAGTCTTGGAAAGACTTAGGTATGCATTTAATTTTAATCATTTGATCTGCTTCACTGAAATCAGTTGGATTTCACAGATTAAGCACCTCATTGAACACTGCACTGTCTTTTGTCTATTCTGCAGCACAAGAGCAAACTCAACTAAAACCAAAACAGAATAAAACCAGCAGTTTGAACTCATAAAACACGCTGTATTAATATGCACAGAATCAGAATTGACATCCTGAGGCCTCAAAATGAGCACTGCACTAAAGTCACCTGCACTCCTGCCTACCCCACCACAGGAAGAAGTGGGCTGTTTACAGAGTTGTTAGTTTTGGGAAAGGCTTGTGTGCTAATAGTCTGAGATGAGCCTTCAGTCAACACTGTTCGATTCCACCTTGACCACACATCACCCTTTCCTGGGCTGGGTTTTATTGCAACATTTCTGATTTTGCCAGGATTAAAACAATTTTAGTAGAGTAACTACATATCCCTTTCATGCACTGAACAGAAATAACCAACAAAAAAACATAAAAACAAGTTAACCAACAGGAGTTGCCCTGTGGCATTTATGCCATTAACTTTGACTGTGGATCTGCACAAGGCTCCTGCTTGTCATTCACCCCTTGGGGGTAACACTTCCCAATCTTCCATTAGGGAACTCGGCATCCAAGAGTCAGTTCCAGCACACAGTCCTGAATGGCCCCCAACCTCAAAATAGGACTTAAAACAAAAAACTTCCAGAACCACCCAGCCACCACCCTCCTACGTGTGGGCTTATCAGGGATTTGGACTCCAAGCTGGACAGAAGCTCCAATTTCTGTCTTGATGAAGGTTCTGAAGTCTTAGCATTTGTTATTGCTCTGAATCAGAATGAAAAGTACTTATTTGGTATAAGAGTATTGCAAAAGGAAATGTATTTTGTTTGGCAGTATTATAAACTCCAATGAGTAAATAGAGCACAATTTAAATATCTTAAGTCAAAAAATGTAGTGACATAAGAACAAAAGGAAATGGTTTTACTTTACTAGAAATATCTGCAGCACACTAATTTCAAAACCATCAAAACTATTTTCATTTTGACTTTTGACACTTTTCAGAGAAGAACATACCTGAATTCAACTCATCACCACAACATATCTACAACTTAGTTTCCAGTGGAACACTTTTCAATCAAGAATGTTTAAGTCATTTGTATTAATAACTTACACACACAATCATAGTTTGCAGTCAACTTTAGCTTTAAAGTTAATGTGATGATCTCACAGCAAAAACAGGAGAAGAAACACAGGCTTTTTTCCTGGCTGGGAGCTTTGCTGTACTATTTGAGCCCGAGTGCTGATGCCATAAACTACATGAGTCATTCCTCACACAGTGTATACATAACTTGCAGGAGCGGGCCCAATGCAGAGCCAAGCCAGAGAATACAAGGATCCCATGGCATTTTGCACCTTTTAAAGAAAGTAGTTCAGACAGCTTGCAAATAATGCTGTCCCACCGCTGGTGAAACTGGGACAGTGATCTGCCCACATTTTGCAGCTCTGGGGCTGAACAGGCAAGGAAGTGGAAAGTAACAAGAAGTAACTGGGGAGGGACGTGGTCTTAGAAGCCTGTGGTTGCTGGATGGGCTCCAAAATATTTGGGATAGCAGGTATTGGAGCACATGTAGGACAATAATGAGGCTGGCACAAGGCAGAGCTGCCAAGAGCACACACATCTGTGAGACAGAGCAGGGTTCAGGAACAGGCATGTCTTGCAAGTCAAGCAAGTGCTGGGATGCACAAGTGCTGCTGGGATAGAGCAGCCTGATCTGTTAGTAAGCACTACCAAATGCTGGTTGAACAGGCATCCTTCTCTGTCTGGCAGCTGCTCTTACTGTGGATGAGAAAGGCAAGCAGGTCCCAGGAAGGCACAGCAGAGAAAATAATTTCAAAACTGAAACATAAGCAAAGAGCACAGCTATGCAAATATACAATATCCTCACCCTTTCGGACACTGAGGTTCAGTAATGTCCTCACACTCTTCTTCAACCCAGCTTGCCTCTCCTTAAAACAAATGAGTGCAATTTATTTTTTAAGATAGTACATTCTTATTGATAAATGCAAGTTTTTCATTTTACTGGATGCTTTTAAAGTTATATTATGTCCTTGCTCCTTTCATACAAACATGGGTACGTATATGAGAGACTGTAGGAACTTGTTGAGGACATTTACCTTTACAAACAGCATGATAATTCACACAGCAATCTTTATTTTCCACACAATCATCTGAACAGGAACAATGATATTCTGGTCGCCTCTTCTCTCCACACCTGAATTTATTGCAAGTCCATATGTGGGCTAAAAAACAGGAGAGAGAGAGAAGGACAGTACAATGATTAATACCAGTGTAAAGTGCAGAATTGATAAACTGAGCATTCAGGTCTGTCTCGAATGTGTACTCACTGAAAAACAGTCCTGAGGCATCTCAAGTATGCGTAATATTGCAAGCTTTGGCACTTTGGAAAGCCGAAACACCCATGGCTAAATAATCCAAGCGCATACCCATCTGAATACAATTATGCAGCATATGGTTATAAATAGCACAGATCTTTCTGGAAAGAATAGCCCTGTTTAGCCAAACCAGGACACAACACATCATACCATTTGAAGATGATCATTTTGTTATCAGTCAAACACAAGTAGATCCTTTGCAGTCAGTGAGGATAAACATGAATGAATTTATCAACTGAGCAAACACTTAAGTGAAGCTCTTAAGAGACACAGAAGCCAAATCTAAATGTTTGAGTAGAGGACAGTTAGTGATCTTCATACATGGCTAGCCATTAGAAATCCCTAAAAGCATTCTCAGGAGGTTAATCTCACTTTCAGGAACACTGAACTTCAGTAACTCCACCAACATCAGTAGATCTTTACTTCTGCAAGAAGCAGAAGAATCTATTATGGTTCTAGTTAGATGACACTATTTGGAAATTAGAATTTGATTCTCCACTGATGTTAAGGCTAATTATTTTTAAAAAAACCCACACCAAGCAATGAATTCCCATTCTTAGTGTGAAGACAGACTCTCCAGTTTGTTTTTAAAGAATCCTTTAAACCAAGGGAGAGTGGTTTAATAAAACAAAGTGGAGAGTAAATCCCATGCAACTATTCTATAAGCAAAAACTTAATGCAATTCAGAGGAGCTTTCAATAAGTTATTTGAAACAGGGATCTGAGTTCAGTTTAACAATTTGGTTTTAAAAGTCAACACTGGAATTTTTCATTTCAAGGTGAGACTACATTGATAAGTCTTACAAATACACATAAAGAGGAGTGAGAAGAAAAATAGTTACCTGAAAAAAATGCTGCATATGAAGCATTAAGGTAAAACTAAATTAGAGAAAACAGCCAAGTTCTGTCCTTAATCTTACTACCCACACTAACATCTTTCCCTGTAAAATTTCTGCGTGGTAATTTTTACACCCTTGTCTACCTGACCTTTGCTTTCTGGCAAGTCATGAGAACTGCTTCTTGCTTTGCAATCATCCTCCACCAGCGCAATCTGTTTTGTCATCCTGCCTTGTCCCAAAGGCCAACACATGACCCTTGCTTCACACTCAGGCTGGGGAGCAACAACGCAGAGGGTCTGAGCAGCTGGGTAAGGAGAGACAGCAGCTTTCACAGTGCTGCTCTGTCCTTCCCCTTTTTCATGCAGGCAATGACAGAAAGATACACTATGCAGAATGCACCCCTGTTCCTGGTTTGCCCGAGACTGTAGGAGTTGTCCCTGATGCCAGGAACAATGCAGGTCACTGTTCTCTCACCCCCAGCCAGAGAACAAAAGGCTGGCTGAGACCTCCAGTTGCAGTTGTTCCTCCTCTTTCCAAGGGAGAGGGCAGCAGCACAGTCCCTCACAGCCTCTCTGCCCACAGGAGCTATGGGAAAGCCAGCCTACTGGCTATGTCAGCCCCTGTGCAGTTCAGCTGGGTGAAAGACAAGCTTTGTTTGTATACAACAGCAGCTGCACTAGAGCCCTGATGTTTCCACAGGAGTCCCCAGTACTGCCATCACCACCGCAACTCCACCCATGGCTGCAACAGAGAGCGTGCAAAGAGGGGGAGACCACTGGTGTCTGAATCACGCTGCTGTTCAGCAGCCCCCCTTTGCACTCACAGCCCACCTGAAGAAAGTTGGGGTTACGGCCACCTGACCACCACAGTACTCACACACAGTGCTGTCCCGCATCACAGAATAGGAGAATTTGCCCCCACAGTTTTTTTCCATCCTTACCTGGTTGTATACATGTTTCCTGGTAATCTAAGCAGCAGTTCCCAAGCTTGATGCAATCTCTATCACAACGGCAGCTTCCAAAGGTCCTTTCAAAGCAACGACCTTTGCAGGTTTTCACTGTAATATTGGATAGTGTTAGATGTCAGTGGCTGAGCCCAAATCAATCAACATGTGAAAGAAATTAATAAAGTTGATGTGTGGAATGACACAGCTGGTCATTCCACAACTTACAGGATGGCTGCAAAAACAGTGACAGCCAAAGGAAAAGGAGTCTTGATCCAACTAAACGTTTATTTTCTCTTACTGAACAAAAATATTTTTTCATCCTATTGAACAAAGGGTTCTGTTCTGTTTTAGAAGGAACATGGGGTTTTGTTACCAGCAGAAACAAGTAAAAAATACTACAATTCTAGCTGTGACTGTCCCCACCTTTCTGTATCACCAGAAGACACAAATACCGTCACTCAGAATATGGAAGATATCTATTGGAGGAAATCTGAACCTAGGTTTTCAATAAGGGTGCCCTAAACAGTGGAATTCTTTTGTGGATAACACTGATCTTCATTTTCACACCTGACAATGTTCCACTTTCTATAAGTAATTAAACATTAATTAGAATCTAGACTGCATTGGCTATGCTTCCCACTCTCCCATGCTCATGCCCTGTTTGAATCACTGTCTTTATACAAGTCAGAGGAACTGAAGAAGCCCCAGTTCTGCATCCCACTGTACTAAGGCTAAGGTACGATCTCAAGACAGGAATGGCTGTTCCAAACCAGACACAGGAGATACGAACTCGAGTGTACTGCTCAGTGGCTTAATTTTTCTTCAGTTTTAATGTATAAAAAGACACTCTTCCACTAGACTGGGGTTGCCTGGGGAAAACAAAGAAACTGGTGATGTGAAGTATTAACAACACTTAATTAGTTGGTCAGTCTGTTTCATCCTGTGCAATCACCATAAGGGAGTGAGGTAAATCCTTCATCATTTTGCTCCTCTTTTCAAGAATCTTGAGGTGTGCGATATTAGGAAAATGAGATAATAATGAGCTAATATTGCAAAGCTGTAATAAAATGAGAAAAAACCTAAACAGATTCTAGCAGGAAATTAATAACCTGTATTTTATTAAAAATCATTGTGGGACTGTTTGTTAAACAGATCAACTTGAAATTATTCCAGATAGTTGTTCCCAAAGTAAAGCTTGGTTTCTTAAAGTATCTTTCGTAACCTTCTACCTGAAAAAACTTCACCATTGAAAAAACCACATATTTTTCAAGACAGAAAACACCCAGAGGAATTCCACAAGGAACATTTTCAGACTACAATTCTAACCAGTTAAAAAAATAACTTTTTTTCCCCCCCCATAATTGCCTGGAAAAGATGAAAAACAAATGTTCCAGGACAACATGAAATAGAAATTGTTGGGTTTTTTTTTCAATAGTGAACTGAGAAAAGCCAGCCATGTGACATCACCACAGTGACAGCTGGGATACATGGAAGTTGCCAGACCAGACACTGAGTCCCAGGATCAGTTTACCTCTCAAGTGAGTACACACAAGTACTGAGTACACCTGAGGTTCATTTGTCAGTGTTTTCATTCCCTTCTAACTGAAACTGCTTCAAGCAACACATCCAATCCTCTTTCTGCAGCAAGAAAGGGTGGCATTCTGATAATATCAAAGTTAATTTACAAATTACAAAAAGAAATTGCTTAGAAATATTACAAAATATAAGGCATATTAGTTACCATCTTTTGAACAGCTAGGCTTCAGGCCAAATATACATCCTAGGATTGTTGTTAACACGCAGACACAGAGTACCTGTGGAACAAGAAGAAAAAGAAAGGAATCTTAAGTGATCACTGAATGGTTTTGAAAGCCCTCTTTTTCTCTATGCTACAGAATTGTACTGAAATTAATAAACATGCAGATTAGGCGGCTGCTTTCACTAGTGGTTTTCACTCACACAAGTAGTTATGTTTTTTGCAATTAATGACTAGTGCACGAACATGAATATTCTCAAGACTGAATTTGTGTATTTCATTTCTTATCAAGCTATTTAATGCAGACATAACATTTCTTTCTCACGAACAAAAAAAATTAAGGTATTTACAGTTACACATATATCAATTTTATAGAAGACTTTCTTTGCTCCACTTCTTCATTCCTCCTAGGTTGTTCTAAGAAGGTGAAGCAAAGTTTTGCCATTGACCACAGACCACAAACAGAAAGCATGGTGCAGACATGATAACATTTCTTTCTCACGAACAAAAAAATTAAGGTATTTACAGTAACACATATATCAATTTTATAGAAGACTTTCTTTGCTCCACTTCTTCATTCCTCCTAGGTTGTTCTAAGAAGGTGAAGCAAAGTTTTGCCATTGACCACAGACCACAAACAGAAAGCATGGCCCTTAAATGATACCTATAATTTCCTTAGGCAGGAAAACCTTTTCCCACTTCCTAGTATCCCATTCATACTAGATGTTGGTCCATGCCATTGTAAGCAACTGCGGGATGTCACGTTAGACTGAACACAGTGTCTTACACCAACCAGAAACTATGGCCGTGTTTATTTTGGATTCTGAACGCATTAAAGTTATCAAACAAGCACCATATTGTCCTTGTCCAGCATTTTAGGGCAAGATCTAATACCTACTCAAACACAAGGAAAGATTCCTTTTAATCTCATTAAGTATTGGATTTGGTCCATAAACTCTTCAAGAAAAGTGTATATATTATCAATGCATATATAGTAATTAGAGTCCAGGAAAGCCAACAATGCACTTATGGCTATTCAAGTGTAGAATGTAATAAGGTAGTTTGCCTGAAACAGAAGGCACTGTAATAATGCAGACTTTCTTATTCAGAAGTATTTGCACAGGTATGGGTAGTAGAAAGGCTATGTCACCTTTCCAGTCACTGTTTTCAGAGGAAAAAAGTACTTTCAAAGAATACTTCAACAACTTTATGTACATGCCTACAAAGTCTCTCCCTTTTTTCCTCCTCCATCAGCAAAAGCTGCTGACTCAAAGGCTGAGTATGATGCCTGAATCATGTTGTGATGTGGCAGAAATTCAGCCCATTTTCAAATGCACATAATTATTTCTCAAGCTTATTTTTTTTAAAGCCTGTGAGCACTTCAGTAAATAAAAGCTATTTTGTGTTGTTTTTAACAAATATACAGTTCACTGTATAGTTTTGTTCACTAAGCAGTTAGATACAGTAAGAAAGCATTTTCTGGAACATGTAGCATTGAAATCCAGATATTATTCTGAACTTGTGAACTGCAAATTATCATAAGACATTAATCAATATAGAAAACATTACATATATAGCATTCATGAAAAAGAAGGAATTATGGACTGGACATGATGAACCTTTGGCCTAGAATTCTGAACCAGGCAAATCTGGTATCTTAGATTATTCAACAATGTCTAGCAAAGAAATAAGCACTTTTTTGTGTTCAAATTTATCTTTGAATTGGCAGAGAAAGAAGGAAAATAATAAAAAAAAGAGGGAAAAACATTCTGACATTATCAATGCACCCAGATACACTACAACTGACAGAAAGGTGCAAGTCCCCATTAATTCAGCTGTCAAGAATGACCACAACTGCAGAGCTCTGTACTTGCTGCCTTTTTTTTTAACAGCATACTAACATGTGCTGTATCAATGATATTTTCCATTAAGTCAGTATCAACAGTATTATCTTCCATGTAAATTGTTCTGGACCTTTGAAATCATCCATATGAAACATTACTTAGATAAGACTACATGCACAGCTAGGTAGGTAGCACGTCAGATGCAAGATGTCAAAGCCCACCAGTCAGTGGAGACAGCAAAACCTGTTACTGTCCTTTTAAGTTACGTATTATTTGGAAGTTATAAGTTTATTCATTTGTTTTTAAAAAGCCAACCTGAGAACATTTTATTTTGGGTTGATGATATATTGCTTCTCTACTCCCACCAGGCACTGCTAGTAAGATCAGAGTAGAATGTCCTCTGACATGTACGTACACAAACACATTTTAAAACAAAAGCCACACCTACTCTATCTGCAAAAACTTTATTCCCATATCTTCAAAAAGCTGTGTGACCTATGGGACTTAGGCCACCTAAGGCATCCTTGTAACACAACCACATTGCAGTGCCACTAAATAGGCTATTAATATTCCCTTATGGATCTTCAGTGTAGGTAATGAATATTTAAAACCCAGGAATTTAGTTGTGACACCAAATTAATGTAAAAATAAAATCTAAATAAAACCCACTCTAAAGTGGTAGTGTTAAAATACTTCAACTAAAACTGGTAAATCCTCACTACAGTTCCCACAAATAATTCCTGAGATTCTGGCACCAAGTGTTAAAAAAAAATCATAGTTTTGTACTGTATTCCAGATTTTCAGTTTTACACTACAATGAACATAATTAATTCCAACAAGCAAAAATATTAAAGGATTATGTTCACTGAGGCATATCAATGTTCTTTTGGGTAGGAAATACTACAACATGGTAATGCTACTTGATACAATAGTGCAACCTGTGTTTCCTGCAAGCAATACTCTGGAAACCTCATAGCTTCACAAACCACAGCATACTACAAATGTTCTGTCTCTACTACAAACCAGTTCTGCTGTCAAATTTCTTATATATATACACACACACAAGGGAAAACACAGTTCAGGTCCTTACCTGGTATACTATAGCCATCCATGCTAAATGAAGATCTGGGAACTTCTACTGACTCACATTCAAGCCTTTGCTTTCTTAACATTAGTCCCACTAGCTTAAGTTTTAGTCTTACAAAGAGTTTACTGCAAAATACTAAAGCTTCCCTGTTTTTTCCCCCCTCCTTTCTTTCTTCAATGCTTAATGAAGCAGCTTCACAAAAATGGTAAGGTTAGAGGTAAAGCAATTGACAATGTTCTGGGACAGCCAACTCTAATCTAGCTGACTACACCATGCAATTACAGCTTACTGTTTAAGGCTTTGATTCAAAGCTTCACTTTGAGCCTAAATGACTTCAGTTACATGGATATCATCCATGCAAATGGCACAAATGTTCAGCTGAAACAATATGGAGCAACTAATACTGGTCAACAACAGCAGTAGTCCAGACTAGGCACAGCAAGAGGTGTTACACTCATAGTTGACCTATCGTCAGTGGAAAGGCTCTAAGATTATCAGCTCCGCAGATGACAAGGAATATTCAAGCCAGCTTTAAAGGTCATCCAGTTACTGAAAGTCATCTCACTGCTGCAGCCTAAATGCAGACTAAGTTACTTTGCTTCTTGCTATATGGGACCTCGCTGCAGCAGGTAGGTTACTAAGGTTACCTGAGCTATTTTACATAGTAAAATAGTAGTTCAGGTTTGGGATACTGCAGTCTGCTGTGTAACAGATTACATTTTTAATCTATATAAAGATAAATAGCTGCACATGATAGTAAACCTTAAACTACAAGGACCGCATTGGAACCCTGCAGCATCCTGCTGCAAGCACTAGACTCAAATCTCCAGCTACTACCACACTGTCCACCTAACACCCGCCTTCGCGGTTTAGTCTGTCTTTTTAAACAAAAGGAGCAAAACCTTACCTGTTCTCTCCCCCATATTCTTCACCTCAGAGAAAGCAAGAATTGAGAAAAAGGTGCAATTAAGAAAGAATAGGAATCCAACATTTTGTAGGAAGGCAAGTAAAATTAAAGAACCTGGCCTTGTTATACACAAAAGTAGCACATGAAATTTTTATGGTCTGTGACTTGAGAGATTGCTAGGACAAAATGTCAGATTTTGTTTTAATATAGAATCTGAGAAAAGTTTTTAAACCAACACAGTAACAACTGCAGAGAAGAAAGTGTCCTTTGTTTTAAAAATATTTTTTTTAGAAAGTTTGTTTTGGAATCAAAAACATTGTCATCTAGGGATGAATCTCTGTCCCATCACTGCTTCCTTTACGTGGGAGGAAGCAATAAAAGCTTTGCTTTGTAAACATTATAGCAGTTGAGAATAGGTGGTTGAATGTCTGGAAATCTGCAATCCTGAAAACATTTCAAAATCCTTTTATTTTGAGCTGGGCAGATGGAAATATGATAACATGGTTAGAGAGCAGAATCACTTCTGTCACTCATCTCTAGAACTGCAGCTGAAGAGAATTTCTCAGCAGTGATTTCAGGGAGCTAGTGGAAGGGCCACAGAGCCAGCAAACAAGCAGGCTGCAGACACTGGATCCCAAAGAGACTGGTCAGCTGTACAGGTCTTAGTGACACAAAGAAATCTCTCACCAGCCCTAGCTACTGTCACCTTTCCTTTATTATCATATCTTACTTTTCCTTTACTAGTCAATGCTACTATCCCTTTCTCCTCATTCTTCCCTAGCTCTGTCCATCTCCCCTGTCACCTCTCTACTTTTCTATTCTCCATTTTCTTCGGCAAAGAGTGCCTTTATATTACTTTTAAGGAATAATCATTCTGAATTCAGTTTCTTCCTGTGTAGATTTTCCTCACTCTTTGCCTACCATGTATTCAGTTGCTTCCCATCTTCCTTCCTTCATCCTCGGTATTCCATGGCCAACAAAACTTGTCACTCCAAGGTTTAAGGCACATCCATTAACAACTACACAATTAACAAAGCAGCAATGCAAAGTAGCAGTTTTCCATTCCAATCACCATGATTGACTCTCACAGTTGCTTCATGTCTATCCATGAAGGGAGAACATCTAGACGACGTCTGTAATGCCAGTATTACAAAAGCCCATAGAATTTTCCAAAATCACTGGGATCCATGAAGGACATACTATGTTTTCACCGTTTTGTGCACCTAGACTAGATGACTAACAACACGGACCTTAACACTAAAATATCTTTCAGAAAGAATTTCATCTGCAAAAGTGTAAAGAACACAGTAATAAATAATGACTGT